CCCTCGAAAACCGGAGTTTGTGACCCTGATCAAAATCAGCAAAATAAAACAATCTTTGTCCTGCTCCCTGATCAGTCTGTTGGATTAGTTTCCAGCAGGCGTGATGATGAAGTTGTTTCTGGAGGATTAAGGAGACTTTGAGCTCTCTATGGATTTAATTTTGTTTGGATCAGATTTTTGTGCTTTTGATTGAATAAAAAATACATTAAAGATTATGTGGCAAGTCAACCTAATAATTACGTTAGAGATTATGCAGATGAAGTCAAGATTGTTTCTGTAATGATATTGTTGGAAGATCAGCATTAGCTGCCTGCTAGACGGTGAGCATCACCAGCGTGACTTCCAGAGGACCAATTTCAACAAAAGTTCAAATCTTTTCATTTTTTTTATATTGATATCGTTTAATTGATATGTTAGCCAAACTGTTAGCACATTTAAATCTTTCAAAAATCACTTTAAAACACAAGATCTTTTTCATGAAAAAGGCCTTTTTTTTGGCCTTCTTGTAAATTTTGTCCAGGCCAACCTGCCACTGCCTGGTTGAGTATAAAATTAATGGTGCCATCCCTTTTGAGAGGATGTGGAAGTGACGTGAAGTGTAATGATCTCAATCAGGGCCAGGGGTGAGAGACAGACAGAACTAATCACTGAGCGCTCCGCTAGCATAATGCAGTCAGTCGTCCTAATGACACTAGTCCTCCCGCCACAGCCATTACTCTCCTCGTGGTGAAAGGCACATCAAACCGCTGAGGACTGCTCATAATTGGGCTAAACTTTGAGCAATGAAAGGACATTTCACATGTCCTGTATTAATCTGGGTGCCAGATTTTTACATTGGTAATTATTTGAGGGGAACTTGACGAGGGGTAAGTGAAGGAGTGAACTTGTGGCGTCTCACTGTTGCGATGAGGGGTGGAGGGGGGTTAAGGGGACAGGACCACATCCTACGCCTGATGAAGTTGTGAAAAACTTTTTTTAAGTTTAGGTGTTTGTGCTCAGCTTGGCCAATATGTGGATAGCCAGTTTATAGGACCATTTTTAAACCTTGCCTTGACAAATACTCATCAACACAAAGCAATAAGAACCCCAATGTCATCCAAGGTGAGACTGTGAAATATTTTCTGTCAAAGCAAATAAAATTAAAATGTTGAGTTTTTAAATTAAAAACAAATCAGCTCTTCTAAAAAGAAACACTTAATTTTACATTTGATTGTTGTCAGTTTTTATCCTAATTAATTGTTTTAAATGTGTGCATTTTCTTTTTTACGTAATTATTTCAAGAAATATTGTAACCACGTTTTCATTCATTTATGAAAAAATTCACATTACTGACCATAATTCCTTTTTGTTGTAAACCAAATCTGCATTTCTATTTACCTAAGCTATGAGGTCCTGATCAACTTCTATAGTTTTACATGAAAAGCTGCCTTAGTGCTTCATCCTCTCCGTTTGAAATCACTGCGTTCTGCTGAAAATCCACCTCTCCACTTGTACAGATCTCAGATAATAGACCCCAAACCAAAGGGGAGACATCCTCTCCAAGCTTTAGCTCTCTTGTTTGCAGCTATTGTCCTGTTTGTAAGAAAACCGAGTTACAATCTCTCAGATACATCCATCACTTCACCCTTCTGGCCCGCGTTGGAAGTGCGAGGCGAGTCTACGGGGATCTTGGGGAAATCTTTTGGTCTTCTGCTTACAGCTTCTTGAAGAGACATCAAGAGAAGCTCCATTGATTTTTCTTTTTTGGCTTCTACTGAATTTCTGTACTGAGAGCCAGCAGGGGGTCCTCCCTGTAGGTGCAGTTTCAATAGTGCCACTCAAGACGGAGTGGGTCAAAACAGATTGTTTTAACGGGGGGTGGGTGGTGGGGTGGGGGGGTGGGGGGTGGGGGGGGGAACCAAAGCCTAAAAAGTTTATAGCAACTTTATTTCCCCCTCATTCTGCTTTGAGATGTTTTTAAAGGAGAGCAAGTTTGTCAGAGTTCTCCACCAAAAGGCCCTGCCAGCATTTTTCTGCTGACACTGACTTTGATGTGTGAATTAAAGGAAATTTGTGCTATTACCCCCACCCCGTCCCCGTCCAGTTCATTAAAGGTTTCACGCTGTCGGAGGCTTCTGCAGAATTTATGATCCAATTTACATCGTGTTGTTTTGTTTTCATTTTGAATTAACACCTTTGTGTTCATGGACAAATCTGTTTGATGTGATTATATGATACAGAGTTTTTCCTCTGGCTGGAGGTTTGTTTTTAGGGTATATTAGTACATGTTAGTTTGCCCGAGAATATTTGAAAGGTTAAGATGAGTTTTGGAACTTTGGTCTGATGAGACTAAACTGAAACTTTTTGGGCACATTTATGTTTACACAGTTCCCACAGTCAAACATGGTGGTGGGAGCATCATGTTGTGGGGCTGTTTTGAAGCCTCACCCCGATTTCACACTGGAAGCATCAGCGGCGCGAAACGGAAGTGGAACGGTTTTCTCGCGAACTTCAAAGCGGCCCTTTTCACACTGGGAGAGTCTTGACAACGGAATGGCTTCCACGCTGTTCTCTTCCCTGGATTTGCGAGATCCCTCGAGACTTCAAAGGTCACTGTTTGTTTATGCAATCAAAGCCAAAAAGAAGGAAACGTTTGATGTCGCTGTTTGGTGTCATATATTATGTTGTTCATCTCCACTGCCAGGATTAAAGCCATGAAAAACACACTGTTGCACTTCTGGAATGATACTGGGAGTAAATAAGCTGTTGAGTCACACGTAAGCTACACATAAATGAAATAGCATTTCTGTAGTACTTTTATTTTGAAAATTACTGGAGGTTTTAAATTGAAACCGTGTGAGATTTCCTGTCTTGTCCTATGATAACTGCGGAAATTGACATGTCTCAGAAGTGGCTAGCGGCAAAATCAGAACCCGATACCATCTTTAGCAAGGCGGCATGCTGCTTCTGGGACACATCTGGAAATTGCCGCATCATGGCTGGTTTGAAACACTCTATAGATTACAATGGATTCTATTTGAAGCAGTGGCGTTCTGCTGTCCTTCCATGCCGCTGATGCTTCCAGTGTGCAGTTGGGTTTAGACAGAATGAGTCTTGTTCAGGTGCATGGAATCATGAAAACAGAAAATTATCTTGACATTTTGAGGGAGAATATGGAGAAATCTGTTTGTAGTCTAGACTTTGATCCAGTGGCAGCTGGTAAAAAACAATCCAATAGACTTCTTAAAAATTATTGTTAGCATCTGGGTAATGGGCTCGACACACGGGAGGCGACATCGCCTCTCCTCCATTCATTTTCAATGAGACATGCGCAACAAAGCGATAATCGCGGGTCTCCCTCCTACCAAGCGAAACGTGAAAAACGTGCGTGTGAAATTTTGCGCTCGTGCATGTGTCGTGCACAGGCGACCCAGCAACGCGATCCCAGAAAGTTGAAACATTTTCAACTTTTCATCGCTGTCGCTCGGACGAGGACCAATCAACGGAGGTTTCATTCACTGACCAGTGAGCGGACAGGATGCTCCGTACACCTCCGAGCAAACATGAAGGAGAAGTTGATTATTATTATGCTTTATATAGTAAAATCAGAAGAAAGATTTATCAGAACTCTAGCAGCACCTTGTGAAACATCATATCTACCGCTTTTTAAACTCTGAACTGCTTAAATAACCTTAATGCCCTCCAACCTGACACAGCCAAACAAAACAACGGAAGTTTCGATTTCGCCATGGAACAGAACGCGTAGACAGCTTTGCCGCTGGCCGCTGCCACGGATCGCCTCCCGTATGTCAGGTAATAAAAGTGACGGCGACAAATTTCGCTGATCGCGGCCGTTTGTCGCCTCCCGTGTGTCGAGTCCATTACTGCGCACAGCCACACTAGCTTGAAAGCAAGCACTCCATCTCCAGCCGTTATCCAGAGATGTATCTCTGCAATTTAAGCTAACGAAATAAAACCTAGGCATTTTTTTGTATTATTTATTTAATTTATTATTAAAATAGAAAAAAAAATAATACTAACAATAAAATGAGGTTTCTCAAACGAAGAAAACGAAAAGGGAACAGAAAGAAGAAAACTTATATCTGCCCCTTTTTAACTATAATGACATTTTTACACTGAAATAACAATAATGATTTAGAAAGAAACATCTCAAAGCTAATGGCGTGTAGCACAAAAATAGCTAACAAGCTCTGAGATGACAATCCTGCTCAGAACCGGCCGCCTGGACTTCACACAATTTAGCAACAAAGGAGTAACCGGATGTCTTTTACATTTTGCGGGTTAATGCTGAAGGATTGCCGTGATGTTGTTCATCTTTGGAGTTGAACAGATTCTCCATGACTTCTGAGTAACGTAAACAGAAACACAAACAAACAACCAGCACAATCGCTGAGCCCCACTTTTGAAGGAATCGGTTAGAGTGTTAAAAACTGCTTAGTGTTGCTTTAAATTATCAGTGAGGGGAAGATAGAGAGAACGGTGAAAGGAGATCCAGAACATTCTAGAAGGCTAGCTATCTGTTTTCGGTAGCAGGGGCGCTTTTGGCCAGGGCCCCAGAAGTCTTTAATTCACAGATCCTGATTGGCTCAAAATTCTCCAGTTATCCCTAGCAATGAAATGTGATTGGCTGTTTAGCTGCAGTTCATGGGTACTGAATTGCAATAATGTTTTTTATAGTGTTTTCAAAATAAAAAACACTTGTTAATGGTCATTTATTTTTGTAGAGAAGTCAAGACTGTTTTCTAATAAATATGGCTTCAACAGTATGTGAAGGTCTTTAGTGGATAAAAGTGCTTTGGATAAAAGTGTCTGCTAAATAAATAAACATAAACATAGTGTTTTTTCAGACATTGATTCATTGTGCTTAGAACAGGTAGAGAAATTTAACCCTTTGTGATTTTACCCAACATTATAGAAAGTGAAACATTAGCTAATAGCCTCGCTCATTATGACTACCAGACTTTGTGAAGCAGTCAGTGATTTTTGTCTCTCTCCTTCAGGATGCATCTATCGCTCACCGTTTCCACGTTATGAGAGAGAAACATCCTGAGAAGTTCAACAGCAGGTATGTTTGTGTCGGATGAAAAGCTAAAGTCTGGGATTACATTTTTAATAAAACATCAATAAAAATGTAATATTTGCTATAGTAATTATTAATGAATAATTATTATTATTAATTATTAATGCTCAGTGTTTATTAATAGTAGAACAGTTAATAATAAAAACGTTAAGTCTGCTGTTGTCAGAAAGCACTCCAAATGTTGATATAATAATATTTCCTAACCAAGGCTCTGTATACAACTCAACTCAACAACTCAGATCTTGATTTCAAAAATATTTTGTCAGACAAATCAAACCGAATAAATATACAATGTTAAACAAGCTAGCCTAAAACAAAATAAACTTAAAACAACACATTTTAAAAAATCAAGGAAGTGGTTCTCTCATATTTGTTTAAAAACCTCAGCCAAAAGCACGGCTCGGTCCAAAATGAACAATTGGACCATCTGATTGATTGTCTGTCTCACCGGACCACCACACTTCCCTGGGTTCTCCACTCATCACACACACACACACACACACACACACACACACACACACACACACACACACACACACACACACACACACACACACACACACACACACACACACACACACACACACACACACACACACACACACAATCAGAGAAGGAGAAACAGCTACCACTTCAACTTTAGGACAAACTACCAGAGTTTGTAAAAGAAAAACACCATTAAGTCACGGACAACTAAAGACACTAGAAAACAGCGACTGGTGTTTTACACACTCTTGTTTACTGTGGAAATGCACGTTCCACTAACAGGCATGACGTGACGTGACCTAGGGATGATAGCCGATGGGAGGGGTGAGCGTTCCGTGACTGTGTTTGTGATTAAAAGCTAGCTTGTTTTGCAGATTAGCCATAGAAACTTTACAGACTGTACTACACAGTTTTCACCTTTTGCATCCATTTATCCGGATTTTAAAAACCACATTGAAGAAAAGTGTATTTTGTGTTTTTCTGTATATTTACAGAAAGGTGATCTGCTGCAGGACGGCAGATCTCAGTGATTAAAGGTCAATGTTTGAGGCGTTTAATGGATTTATTGCTTTTCAGTTCACATTTTTTTTATTTATTTATCTGATTGCTCACTTTCTGGTTTGCACACGCTGTGGAACTGAAAAGGTAAAAAATATATAATTTTAAAAGATTTACAAGAATCAATCCCAGGGTTAGGGTTAGGGCTACCCCTAACCCTAACCCATGAAAGTGTTACACATACCTTAATTGATATAACATTTTTTACTTCTTTGAAACAAAGAAGAATAAATAAAGGATGGTTTAAACCTTTTGCACAGCACTGAGCCCATGGCCTGTTGTGAAACATGGTTATAAATAGGTCTACAGGTTTCCTTGTGCACTCGTATAATTTAATTTAAAAATTGACTTAAAGAACATTTATTTATCTACCTGCTGCTGCCAATAAACTATTATTGGAGCCTTTTTATATATAATCGGTTTTATTTGAGATTATGTTAGAAACCAGATCTGCTTAAGAAAAATAAACAACTATTCTCAGGTGACTTCAATGCGTCATCGTTACAAGTTTAAAAATAACATCCACATCGGGAGTCTTGATTAACAAATAATAATCTCAAAACCGAAGGATACATAATCCCAGAAACCAAATCAGGTTACTGTCTAAATATATCAGCAGTGTGTACTTACTTTGTATTCACTCAGCATGTTTACTGGACAAGCAGCATATTTAGCATTTGTAATTACCTCCAGGAGATGTGTTCACCTTTGCAGATGAACAAATGTGGCGTCCATGTTTCCATCAATATTTAACATCTCCGATACATCTCCACTTACACCAGGGAGTAATTGCGGACCTAATTGAATTTGCTTGGCTAGTTTGACATCATGGATCAGTCAAACTGATGACACACAGGCCCTAATAATCCCATTTGTACTCATTACCATATTTTACCCTGGTCTTACTCCAACACTCAGCCAGCCTTCCTCCTGCAGCTCCAACATGATCGTAGGGCTTAGAAATGGTCTGAAGACAAGGGAAAGAGGGTTTTAGGTAAACGAGGGTGTGTTTTCAATGATAACCAACGGTTACGGTGGTAAACGTGTTAGATAAAGAGCTGGAACAAGAAAGACGATCAAATCTAGAAGGTTCTGAATAAAGTATCAGGGTGAGGAAAGGTTTTCCTCAACAGCTGTTGGTAAATATTGTTTTGTCACTTTTCGTGTCAACATGCTGCACCGACGTCTCAAGATTGTTTCGCACCATCTTGAGGCGTTGTGAAAAATGATTGAGATATTTTAAGAAAATTATTCTGTCTGTTATTTGAATTCAATTAATAATTCACATGGGGGAATGAGTTTAGGATCTCTCTATTACACACTATCCTTGCCCATTTAAAAATGCATGATTATAGTTTTTCAAGGTAGCACGGATTGTGTTAGATTTGTCCAAAGGGCTTCTGTCCATTGGAAGTTTAATCAAACTTATCACTGAGTCATTTTCCTGCAGCTGGAAGCTCTTTCTCTTAAACCACAATGACAATTCAAGACAAGTTTATCATGATGAGAGAGAAGGAAAGAGTTTTACAATCCAGTCTGGAGCCAAGTCGGCTTTGGGCAGAAATCTACTGATGAGAAACTTTTGTTCTTTAGGTTTTAGTAGTCGAGTAAAACTACCTGTACAGGCCATTATTGTTACTAATACTAAATCATCTATTTTGTATCATTATATAACAATATTAACACTAAAGCTTGGTTTATGCTTGACGCATTCACTTTCCGCGCGGTGATGCGGCTCGCGGTTGGAACGCGCTTCACAACTCACTGCGTCTATGGTTCGTGCGGCTCGTCTCTGCGGTGAGCCAATATTCTCCCAAACTGAACGGGGCAGCATGGAGCTCTACGGCATGCACCCAACACTACACCATAGTAGAAGTAGAAATTACTGTTTACAACATGGCATTTCAGCATTTTTAACAGCGTCCTCGTCTTTTCCGACAGTGCGAGCTATTTCTCTCCAAGAATTATTAACAACATGTTGATCACGGTGATCTCTGAGAGCTGAATCATACAAATGTCTGTATTTACGAACCTCTGCCATACTAGTTCTTGCCGGTCCGCCATGTTTTTCCGCGTCCGTTCGTCCGCGTGGTTAGAAATTTTCCGAGGTGCGCGTTGCGGAAATTCTGGGGCGTGCAGAGGCGCGGTGGAGGGGTGTGGTTGTTAAAATGACGCAACTTTTCCGCGCGGAGCCGTGCGGACCTCGCGGACGCGTCAAGCATAAACCAACCTTAATAAAGAGCTATTGTCAGCCCTCACCACCTGTAGATCCTCCACCAGAGGGCAGCACACATTTGTAGGACAGGATATGGCAGGTTTCTGGTGAAGGTACTAATCCTGGTACTCTATTTGGACACATAAAGACCAGAAGAGGTTTGCCAGGAATTTGCTAAATAATTTACAAGAGGTTCAATCTTGTTTTTGTTTGCTTATGTGGGTCACGAAGGTAGCAGCTCCAGTAGAGCAGCCTTAACTCATTCATTTCCTGATCAGTAAAGCCCTTCGCTGCCAGCGTTTTTCAGCGTTTTCATGAGCTTTACCTAAGACATAAATGGCAACAAGTGATCAGTAAACAGTGTGAGGTGATCTGTACCTTACACACCAACACAACACAGCCTGACAATGGCGGTGATGTTGAACATTCTACTCAGTCTCAGGCTTTTTGTCAGAGGCTGAAACAATAAACGGCTGCAGGCAAAGCGAGGCAACAAGCAGAAAGCTCTGGAACAAGCAGTAACTCCTCTAGTCCTTTCCGGACTAGGTCAGCACACTAGGATCCTCAACCAAGCAGGTATTGCAAATCTGGAAGTCAAACCAAACTGCACCCATCCATGTCACACTGAGGAGTGCCGTTGGAAAAAGGCTGTGTGTGTTGAGGGAAGTCCAACTATATCTAGTCAGTACAACTCAAATTCTTCCACAAGCCTCAGCTCCTTCCCCACCAGAAAGGTGATGATCCACGTCTCAAATGCCATTTTGTGATTCTGAGGATTGGACTGCCAAAGCCTCCTATCTGTTCTCCCACATGATCCCCAATAAAACACAGAACACTTAATGTTCCTCCTAAAGGTTGTGCATCCACAAACGGATGAGACCACAAAATTGTTTGGGCCTCATTGGTGAAACCCCGACAGGTGCTCACACACGGCGCCCTAACCCCAGGCCTGGCTGCAGGTCGTGACCCGAGTACCGAGATGAATGACTGGTTACGTAGTAAAGCACCTTGGGGGGTTCGACAACTATAGAGTGCTATGTGATTACAGGTCATTTACCATTTTCTTTGTTTGCATCTAAAGACAACTTACACACATTCTCAAAAGACTTTGCTTCATTCTCACCTTCTGATGACTCATCGTCTTTATGTACAGTGAGAAGGCTCTCTTCATTACTTTATTAGACTAAGGTCAAAGTCATTGATCCTTTGTCTTCTATAAAAAATGTTTTATTAATTTGAGGATCATAATTCAATGTAAATTATCAATAATACAAAACTTACTTAGATTCAAATGCAAGAAAAACATTTTTCTCCGTCCAATAAAAGAAGAAATGCCATTTAACAGTATTTACGTATTATGTCTTTATAACCAGTGATATTAGTATAATAACCCAGTCTTCTCCACTGGATGCGTAAGCGGCACGCAACGTAATAGACGCGTTTTACCCACAAGCTCCCTTCCCACCAGGAGCATTTCAGATGAGAAATGGCAGCGAAAACACAGCTGGTCACTCAAGGTCACGAAATGATGGCAGGATTGCAAAACTAGGTGTGATTTCAGAAGTTCACACGAAAACAAGCAAGGAGAGAGATGGCTGTATTTATCCTAAAAGGTCTGTGGTTTATTTTATGATCTGTTTACCCCAGCCACAGAAGTTTCACAGGAAATTATGTACTTTAATTATTAGTTAAGCAACATGACTTTTACTTTGAAAGTTTCTGGTTG